AGCCAGAGCCACGCGTCAGGCGCCTTCCATCCGAGTCCACCACGCTGGCCACGCCGCTCATTATATACTGCTCCTCAGTCATGTCCTTCTCTGGTTGGCTGCTTATCTTTCTCGCATGACATTGGAACACAGAGAGGCACAGGATTGGCTGCGTCTAGGTGGTCCAATATGTCTGCGCCCCGATCCGACACCACAAAGCTATAAGGAGCGACGTGGCCAATGTAGGGGACTCGGATAGAAGGCGCCTGACGCATGGCTCTGGCTTTTGATTGGTCAATAAAGCCTGGTCTGTTGTACTAGTCTTATTCCTATTAGGGCTCGGGTATTCTACATCGGTGGCAGTGGACGCGTCTGAATTACGCGAATCAGACCCCAGCCCTTTCTCTTCAACGGACAACAGAGGCAAAGACCCTTAAATGTCAGCTGAATTTGTCATGGCGTTCATCCAATGTCCAATAAAGTGGATCCATTGACATTGCCCGGGATTAGGACGACTGCATCTAAAGAGGCATTGGCAACTCAGCGACGACGACCTGGATAGTGAAAGCCAGCTGGACTGCATCTGCGAAGGACCTTCAATGGATAATGAGTCTTTCCTGCAAGTCTACAAGAGTAAAGTCCCTCGTCAACTTTTCGCTTGAGCCGCTATCCTGCCAGATGTGGGGTGCGGGGTGTGTCGAACTTATTTTCCTATAATATTTTAGTGTTGTTTTTTACTTTTTTATGGCTTACTCACGCTGTACATCTTTCCAAGGCAATGATTGGCTGAGCACTAATATGGCTGCTCCGTCAACCCTGCAATCTGTAGAATACCCGAGCCCTAATAGGTAAAAGACCGGTACAACAGAACAGGCTTTATTGACCAATCGTAAGCCAGAGCCACACGTCAGGCGCCTTCCATCCGAGTCCACGATGCTGGCCACGTCGCTCATTATGCACTGCACCAAATCCATGTCCTGCTCTGGTTGGCTGCTTATCTTCCTCGCATGCCATTGGAACGCAGAGGGACACAGGATTGGCTGCGGCCAGGTGGTCCAACATGTCTGCGCCCTGATCCGACGCCACAAATCTACAATACATAAGCCCTAATAGGATGAAGATGGTTCATAACAGGCTTTATTTACCAATCACAAGCTAAATACAAGCGTCAGGTGCCGTTATTACGAGTCGACCATGTAGCTCGTTATATAATGCTCCTCATTCGAGTCTGTCTCTGGCTGGCTGCCTATCTTCCTAGCATGCCATTGGAACACATAGAGACAGAGGATTGGCTGAGGCCAGCGTGGTGTAATATGTCTGCGCCTTCAGACTGAATTATTTTCGCAAGATTTCTTATGATGTCGAATAACATTGGTGCTCAGCTTCGTCGTTTTGTATCCATCTGTCAATCCGAGGCAGACTCCAACAGTCGGCTCACTCATCCCCTAAATCGAGCTCCAGGTGAGTGGCAACACCTGTCGGAATTGATCACCTCACTTCTCCACACATGCCCGCCTGCTCGTTCTGCAATTCTCAGCTTCGTGTATCCCATTGTTGGGGCTCACCTTCAATCAATTACGCAGCTGCAACAGCAGCAACAGCAAATGCAGGTGGACAATCAAACAAGACAGGAACGACGTTGGCTGCCCCCACCAAACCAACCGTCTGAGAACTTCATTTTATCGATATTGTCTGCTGTAAGTGCCTTAGCATTATTCGCCTTAAAGTAATTACATTCGCTTACTGGGTGCTCTTTCATTTTAGGCGGGTGACGTTTGTAACCAGGAGTCTGAGGTCCTAAATGATCTTGGACAGCCCTCGTTTGCCGCTGATGTGTGTACTTTCGCCTTGGATCTTCTCGTTCCTCTTGCTCCTCCTCCCCACCGAGATGTGCTTATGCCAACACATTGCAGACGTCACCAGACCTCTGCACATCCTACTTCCCGAATACCCAAGGTTACGTCTCGCCGGCGTCGCGTCAACCGGTCGAAAGGTGGCCTCGATAGCACTGACGAAATGACCGAATGTGAAGATGCTGGCGGCAGCAGCAGCAGTAGTGGTGGCAGTGGTAGTAGCGGTAGAAACTCGGATTCTGGTTCTCGCAATGGCAGCAGTAGTGACGACAATGAAAGTTGCAGCGAGTCGGTTAGTGAGAAGGACCAGGCAGTGATCGCTGTCGACGTGTCGCTTGACCTCAGACCGACAGGCTTCAACGGACGCCTGCTTGGGGCCACGTGGATGTCGTCACCAGTTGTCAGGCAATTGCTGCGCATTGTTTTCTCATGCATTCTTGGCAAGTGGTCGAGTCAGGCATGTTTGCAGTCCTTGGTTGCCAGTAGCCTTCCAACAGCCTATCGAGGAAGGAAAGCTCAGCAACTAGCAATTCTTCAACAAACCGACCCTTCGGCGTGTCAGCCACATTGGTGTACCAATTGGCTTCTTTACCAAGCAGCTACATGCGCCATGCCTCGACAAACAATCGACAAATTATGCACCCGCATCCTTGACGTGTGTTTGCGTGGGCCCCCACTCTCACTGGGTGTTCCATACAGCCCTGAATATCACCGATTTTGGGTGCTGTCTGGCATCTCGAATATGCTCTTTTTTGGGCCCTCTGTTGAATCTCACTTAGCCTCATGGCTTCGAGACAGACTACTGCATTCAAGTGAGAATCATACGCCAAAACCGGTTTTCCTTCACGTAATTGCCCCGCTTCTGCTTATTGCCCCACGCAGCAGCAGCAACAACTCTGCATCTAACAATGGGGAAGGAACAAGTCAACCCCCGAGTCACCGAAACTCACCAATGAGCAAACGGCCAGCGGGTTTCCAGGAGTCGCCAAATTTTGGTCCGGTTCGACCCCCCGTGCCTCCACCACCGCCACCACATCCAATGCAGGGTATGTGCACCGTTTACCGAATAGCCCTCACCTTAAACTGGATTGATTGATTGTAATGATGCGAATGTGGTGTATTTAGACTTGGGAGGAATTGGCTTTTTCTCGCTTTAAGGACCTCGATGGAGTTTCGCGTCACACACCCCTCCGGGTCCACGCCCTCCCTTTTGCCCGCCTCAGCCACCACTGGCCCCTCATCCACCGCCGCCGCCGCCGCAGCCATCACAAAACATTAGTGCACCGCCTGCTGCTGCACCCCACAGAACGGCTTTCGAGGTGGCTAGCGGTCTCTTCCCTCACGACAACCTGCCCCCAGATTCACCGCAGCTGCGCTACCTTCGTTCTCTCTGTCTCTCCCTGCGTTCCGTCACCTTGACCGTCTTGAAGGACTTCTTCTCGATGCCAGAGGTTCGATTAAGACCTCTACTCGAATCCTACCTAATGCTGATTCCTGATCAGGAGGTTGAACTCCTTCGTGATGTCTTCGTTCGTGGTCTGTTTGAAGCACCAGGTTCGTGTGTCATCACTGTCATTTTGAGCCAATTTCAAGCTGACATTCTGCTTTTCACCACTTATCAGCCGAATGCAGCGCCAGATGGATTGAACTGCTGCTGGATCTGGAGTTGTCCACCGACACCTCCGTGTCTGTCGGAGCTCGCAGTCTGCTCAAGTTGCTGTGCCTACGGACGCACGAGTCAATAGTCTGCAGGACGGAGGTGGATAGTGAAGCAGCGGGCGTCGGTAACATTCCCTTCATAGACTGCCTGGAGGGCCTGTCGAGGGGTCGCTCTTGTCAGGAGCCCCTATTTCCCGGCGGTGGTGTGCTTATGCGCAAACTCGTCACGGAGGGTTGCTTGTCAGCTGGCCAGCTCCTTGTTCTTCATCTGCACCACGCCCACAGGCGTTCCCTGGCGCGAGCTCTTTTCGGTAGGGTACACACAACAAACAGCCTGCTGATGTTTGCTAGTAGTCGTGTGTGTGTGTGCACTAAGTGCCGAAAAATGCTTTAGGCAACCTCATGTTGTGGAACCTCGCTTCGGAGACGGCGAACTCACCCTCCCCCCCGAAGACGCGTTGCCCCCTCCTCTACTTCTTTCCTCTCCTCGCGGATTGGGAGTCAATCGGTGGTGGTGGTGGTGGTGTCAACAGCCTCCGCGACCTCCTGCGTGACTGCGTTGCGGACGTCCTGGACGCGCTGGCCAACCTGCCGCCGAAATCCCAGGCAAACGCGCTCGTCAATGTGCTGTGGCTACTTCGACGCGAACAACACCTCCAAGGTGACCCGCAACTCCACTTGCGTCCCGCCATGGTCTCGCTGCTGCCCCGTTTCATCGCCCTCCTGCCTTGCCTTCTCGGTGATGCAGACTTGACGGTATTCCGACGATTGCCTCGCGTTTAGTGTGCTTCGCCTCCCAAACCAGCCCACCATTGTCCCTCTCTGCGTGGTGCTCATCCACCTCCCACACCATTAGTTGCTTTATTTGCACCGGGAACCCACACGTAGCTGCAAATGTTCCCATAAATTCGTCTACCTCAGACTGGTAATCTGGAGAATTATCTATGACGGTCGATTTGAATGTGTTTCTATGCCTTAAGGCACTAAATGCAGTTAACCTTTTCGTCAGTTCTCTATCCTACATACTTGCTATGCTTCTTGTCCTAATTCCGGATTGTTATTTGGTTTAAGCTTAACACGAGATCGTTCCCTGTCTCCTTGGTGACCACGCGAAAGCTGTGCCGTGGTTTTCCAGTGTCAACTGCGATTCCACATGAATCAGTACAATCCATCAAGGTTATCGTAGGGGTACTACTTGAGAAATGGGTCACGCC